TTTACGGCCTTGTATTTAAACCAGGCGGCTTTTATGAGGAGGGGACGTGTCCCCGGGCACCCCATGGCGAGCTGCGGCCCCACTTGGTGCTTGCAGCCAGCTATTGCACAGGCTACTCCTGGGGACATTTGGGTTCCTTCTGCCCAGCATCTGTCCCTTTATAAGATCCCCTCTCCAAATCCTTGGCGCTGCCAACAGACAGGACTCTATACCGGCGGTGTCTCCAGTGACTGAGTCTAATTGAGGGGCCAGTAAAAGCCCCTATCACATAAATAGATAGCGCTGGTGGATCAAAGAGATTTTCACCTGAATCCAAAGTGAATGGGGCAGGGATAGAGAGACAGGGGTTCTCGGGGCCTCATCTGCCCTCGAGCATCAACACCTGAAAGGGATACTGCCCACCTCTAATTTGGAGTTTATGTTTAACTGCCTGGTGGCGCAGCCACCTCACAGGGAGGCTTTTGAAGTTTCCTTGGTGGGTAAAAGGGAAGAGGAGGAGCGTGTTAAGACTTTTTCAAAGCTCTCTTGATGGCACCAACACCAGCAGCTGGGGCAGACCTGACTGGAACCGATGGCAGCCCCTCCCCAACCCCCACCCGGTGGGTGCCACCCTTGGACTCTGCGGTGCTGGGTGTCCCCAACTCCTGGGGACACTATGGGGACTGGCTGGGGGCTGTGCCCCAAAAAAGGGTCCTGGGGCTTGGCAGGGTGACTTCTCTGTGATGGCAGCAAACCCAAAGCACCTCCCTCGCCAATGCGTCCCCAGAAAGCAGGAGATACTTTTTCAGCCATACCTAAAGTACTTCCCGGCTGAGGAGACCACAGAGCAGAAAGACTCATGACTCGAAAAGATGCACAAACAACTGTCGCTCTTTGGGCCCCCAAATCCTTCATTTGATATGGGAATTGCCTACGGTTCTGGCTCAGGGTCCTCCCAGTCCCCGCCGCTTTCCTGGCAGTGCAGGGACAGGCTTCCTGCAGGGCAGAGCTGGCTATGGGTCTCCTGGTTTCGGCTGGACCTGGTGGGACCCCATGGTTTGCAGTCAGACCAGTAGGAAAATTCCCAAATAGGTTCTTGCAACAAAGCAGGAATTGCACTGGTGAGAACCGGGAAACAGGGTCCACTGAAGGAAGGAGGAATAAGTTTCTGTGCTGTTGTGCAACACCTCACCTAGAAACATACCCAGGCCACTTGACACTCCACCTCTTAATAAAAGCTGGAGTTGTCCCCTCAGCCCTGATCAGAACCTGCTGTCCCAAGGAGAGTAATGGGGGTCAGTGCACCCATGCACTGTTAGGCAGAGTCTGCCAAGGCTGGGACCATCTGTGCCAGTATGTGACAGCCCTACATATGCAAATTGTTGAAATTTGTATCCGTAATTCCCTGACCTTTGGCTTCTGGGGAACCTCTGGCGATGGCTGAGGATTTTATTGCTTGTTGTTCTTGGGTGGCGGGGAGTGTAAGAATGTGGTGGGACAGGACAGGATGGGATGGGTTTGATACAAATGAAATTACTATACAGGGCTGACAGGGGTTATTTCTGCAGCAGTGCCGGGTATGGATGAGAAATTTTAAACATTGCTTGGCTGTACTTGGAGTAAAGTTGTACTGGAACTGAAGAATGTAAGAATAAGCTCAAAACTGTGCAGACAGGGCTGGAGAGGGTTAAGGGAATGGTGAGATCTAATCAGAACTGCTCTCTCATCAGTCTCAGATGAGTGGCCACATATAAAACCGGATGAGGAATATCTATCCATTTATCCTTAATTACTTATTTCCACGCTCGCTCCCACAGTTCACACTAGTGATCACAGTTTTCCCACGACAACGTTGAGCTCAAAAGTTCTTTGTGCTTCAGAGCAAAGCGGGAGACAGGAGCTCCTGAAAGCTCCTGATTCCCATCTGGGATTGCTGCACTTCAGGATGAGCGAAATCCCCTAGCACAGTGTTGTCTCCTGCCCTGGGGAGTTTGATGACTTATAGGGTGTCCCACCAAGCAGGTGTTTTGGTGCAGCCTGACGCCCAAAACTCCCCCAGTTCACGGTGGTTCTGATCACAATCCAGTCCCCAGGTCTAGGAGAGTTTCATGGCTTTTTGGGGGTTTCTTATCTATCTGGAAAATACTTGGGTTAAATGTTTCAGATTTCAGCCCCAAGCTCCTTCTTTAGACTGTCCTGAAGTGAAGACATCTGCCTGCTAGAGATGATTCTAGATTTTTCTGTCTCTGACAGGAGCAGGGAGCCGAGGGCTGTCCCCGTGGGTGGCACCCAGGCTGGGATGTGCTTCTGACATGAAGAGGACAGGTACAGGGGCATCCCAAGACCAGTGCCACATCTGTCTCCATCAGCTCCACAACCCAGTGGCAGGAAAAAGGGGTCCAGGGACTACCAAACACCTTGTGTCAGAGCAGACAGAGATGGGGCTGCCCTTGGGAAGCTGTTAGGAGTGGAGACAAGGAACTCAACTGCCATGCTCCCATACCCAGTGCTCATCTGCACAGGGAGATGGCCCAAGGTGGCTGGAACATGCAGGACTGAGGCAGGAGGAAGTTGGTGCAGATGTGCAAGCTGTGGAGGGAAGCTGAGTGCTCAGGAGCTACATTGTGCAGCTGGGCAGAGAGGGCAGTTCTCCTCCTCTGTGGCAGTGAGATGAGAAATCCACCTTTAGCCGAGTGGAAAAGCAAGCTGGGGAGGAATTGTGCATCAATAATCTCCAAGTGCAGCTTTCCTGGAGTCCCAAGGACTCAGAAGGATCCCACTCAAGCTCCCCATGAACTCCATCCAGGGTTTGTCCCATGAGCAGCAGCTTCCCAGGGCTATAGGCCTGCAGCAGAGGAGAGCAGCAGGATGGTCCCAGCAAGAACTGGGTTTGATCTACTCATGCCCTGCACACCCTGGACATGCAGACACCTGTTTTGTCACAGGCTGGGAAAATCTGCCCACCCAGTCTGCCCTGTATCCGCTGCTCCTCATCACCACAAGGAAGAAATGGGACCCAAGAGCTGCCAAAAAGCCCAGGAGTGCCCCCTGAAGTACTGGTTCCCAAGGTGGTTGTAGGTTTAGGGATGTCTTTTTCTCACTGAACCACGAAATTTCACTCAAATGGCTTTTTTTTTTTTTTTGCTTTTTTTTTTTTTTTTTTTTTGTCTTGATGTGCCGTTTTTATACAAAACAGCAGTGTGAGTTTCATGTTAACTCTTGTGGTCTTCCCAGGTCTGGTTTCTCAGTGCTCTGCAACCTGTGATACCAGTCTAGGCCATGGACAGTATGTCTGTCCTGGAGCTAAGGCTTCCTTGGAAAAGATAATTCCCTCCTGCTCTTGTCCTAAACTACAATTTTCAGATGGCTGAAACAGTGGTTTCCCTTGGGACTTTCTTCTGAAACAGCTGCTTTGCTGAAATTCTCCCCCATTTTCATCTTTCCTGTGACCCCTTCCCTGATCTTAGCACTGGGGTTACCAGGTGACACTGCAGCCACATACCTTGTGCCAGTCCCTACAGTTAAGTGTGGCCCCAGAGCCACCCCACAAGAAGGATGAAGCTGGCAAGAGTATGCATTGATGTGTCCTGCAGCTCTTCCCACAAGGTTTCTCCTCCTCAAAAGGTGATGGAACACAGATTATGAGCATCCCATGACCTCTGAAGGAAGTGGTTTTGCAGACAAGCCTCTTTAAGCCCGTGTATTCTTCTCCTTAACCCCTTGTCTCTTCCCTTTAGGAAGAAGACCATCTACAAAACAGTCTGTCTCTCCTTCTTGCTGGTTATTACAGTAACGGTGCTACAGCGTGGAATGGCCCCAAACCAGTTCATGCAGGGCCAGCAGCAGAAAGAACTGCCCCCTTCAGATCCCTTGAAATCACAGAAGAGAGACAACACCTTCTCCATCAGCAACACTTTCTGGAAGACCAAGAAGGAGAAAGCTCCTGTGAAGGAGGAGAGCGTGACAGCACAGCAAACAAAATCCTGGGATGTCACCACTACCAACTGCTCAGCCAACCAGAACTTCAGCAAGGTGGATTGGTTCAAAGGGCTGGAGCCCAACTTCCAGCAGTTCCTGCTCTATCGGCACTGCCGCTACTTCCCCATGCTGATCAACCACCCAGAGAAGTGCAGCGGGGATGTCTACCTGCTCATCGTGGTCAAGTCCATCATCACCCAGCACGACCGCCGCGAGGCCATCCGGAGGACCTGGGGCCAAGAGAAGGAGGTGGAGGGCAAGAAGATCAGGACGCTGTTCTTGCTGGGCACTGCCTCCAAGGAGGAGGAGAGAGCCAACCACCAGAAACTACTAGATTATGAGAACCACATCTATGGGGACATCTTGCAGTGGGATTTCCTGGACAGCTTCTTCAACCTCACCCTCAAAGAGGTCCATTTCCTGAAGTGGGTTGACATCTACTGTGACAATGTCCACTTCATCTTCAAAGGCGATGACGATGTGTTTGTGAGTCCCAGCAATATCCTGGAGTTCCTGGAGGACAAGAAGGAGGGAGAGGACCTCTTTGTGGGGGATGTCCTCCACAGGGCCAGGCCAATCCGTAAGAAGGAGAACAAGTACTACATCCCCAGTGCCCTCTACAACAAAAACATCTACCCACCCTATGCAGGGGGTGGGGGCTTCATCATGGATGGAGCTCTGGCCAAGAGGCTGCATAAGGCCTCAGAGACACTGGAGCTGTACCCCATCGATGATGTCTTCCTAGGGATGTGCTTGGAGGTCCTTAAAGTGTCACCTGTTGGGCACGAGGGCTTCAAAACTTTTGGCATTGTGAAAAACAAGAACAGCAAGATGAACAAGGAGCCGTGTTTTTACCGGAGTATGTTGGTGGTTCATAAACTGCTGCCTCCAGAGTTGCTCCAAATGTGGGACTTGGTCCACAGTAACTTGACATGCTCAAGAAAACTGAATGTCCTTTAGCTCAGGAGACCTGGGACTGGCAGGAGCTGGGACAACTGATCCCTGCTCTGGGGTGGGGTGAGCCTCCACTGGTGGCACACAAATCCTTCAGGGGCACTGCCCTCCAGGGTGAGGAGGGCAGAGACACTGCGCTCACAGGCAGGGGTTGTTCCTGTACTGTATTGTGGTTCACGTATCTCCAGCTGGGTTGGGGGTTGCTGAAAAAGAGAAAAAAACCAACAAAACATGACAAGTCTAGCACAAAATGGAGAGAGGGTAAAGAGGTTTGTGCTCTGCTTTAGGTACATCCTCCACAGCAGCATGATGAGTGGAGGAGTGGAGGAAGGCAGGGCACTGGCATTTTTTGGAGATGTTAAGGGTCTGGCTATCCAGGGAAGCTGCTCCAAGGGTGTTCAGCCAATTACAAGTGCATCGGCCCCTCCTGACTCAAAACTCATGGGATTTTATTTGTTATCTCAAATTTCTCCTCCATGCAAGGTTTTGGTAACGTTGATCTGTGTGCATTGGGTTCACCCCCACCAAAGTCCTCTGTGCCCCCCTATGCAGCTGGGGAAAGGGGCTCTTCTCCGAGGCTGGCCCTCAACAGCCCTGAGTGCCCACTAGGGTTTGAGCCTGGCAGCTGGGGAACTGGGGTCCTTGTCCCTGTTAGAGGATCCCAGGCAATGGTGGCTCCCTGCACCAGCCTGGGCTCTGCCTGGCTCCCCAGCCCCTCTGCAGCCTTACTGCATCTGCCCTGAGAGGAATGCACCCAGCTGAAATTCCTCAGGGATTTGTTCCTCCTGGCAGGAAAGAGACTAGGCCAGCTGTCCTTGCCTGTGGCCAAGGAAGAGGTGGAGAAAACTGGTGGCCCTCCTTAGAGTGCTCCAGGGATTTTTCACTTCTGGGACTCTAATTCCTGGGCATCCCAGGGGGTGCAGTGGGGAGACCCTCTCTGTGCTGCACAACTGCCTTCATGGCTTTGCCTTGCAGGGGGACAACAGCCCCAAAGGCTCTGTGTGTGGCTGCTTCTGGTTCAGCCCTGGTTTTCAGCAACTGTGATGCTCCAGGGTAGGTTGGAGATATTGGTCCTGCTCTGGCATGAGAAGCAGAGCCCAAGGGGACAAAGTGAAGGAAAGCTGGTGTTTCACACACCTGCTCCTCTCAGGGTTGTTGCAGTATTTATTCTACAGGCTGAGATGCAGGAGCATGACAGGGAATGGTGTCACAAGACATGGCCTTTTTTCTTTGGGCTGCAAGGGCCACGAGCTCTCAAGGGGAGCCCTGGGCTGGCTGCTTTGGTGGAAACCACCCAACAGAGAGACATGTGGCCGCACAAGGGCCACGGATGCTCTCCAGCCCCTGACTGCAGGCATGAGCAAAGGCCACAGGAATGTGCAAAGCCACACATGCTCACACACGTGCTCCCAGGCACAGGGTCTACACACACAGATGTCCCTGTGTGTAGGGCTGGCATGCCCAGATATCCCTGCAGGGGTGGACACACACAGCCACATCCATGGCCCTGAACACGCACAGCAGAGCACAGGCACAGATGCCCTTACTCCCTCTCCCTCTCTGGTGCCAGACATTGAAAGGAGAAAAATTTTACTACCTCAAAGGTCCCCCTGTGCAGTGCCTTTTTTTTTTCCCTTTCTCTTATTTTCTTAATGCATTTTGGAAACAGGCCTGTTTTATTTACTCCAAGTACATTTCCCAGGTTAGAAAACAAACTAAAAAAAGAGCATAAACCAGTCAAAAAGGGCACCCACACGCCAAGCCACACCACTCTTAAAATGCTCCTGCTCAGATTAGATGCAGATTTGAAGAGAAGTAAGAGAAAGAGTCGGTGCTGCCCAGGGCTCAGCTGGTGGTAATACTGTGAAACTGGATGTACAATGCACCAGGTCCCTGGAGTAGCAGGGCAGAATCCTGAAAGCATTTTTGGTACCCACTGGGCTTAGGCAGCACACGACTCTTTCCTTTTACCCTCCCTTCCCTCCTTCCAACAGGAGTGAGTTCAGAAACACTTTCCGAATTGATACCTCCATAATTTATGTCAGGTACAGTACTTTAGGCTGTACATTTATCCTGGATGCAGGGTCAGCTCTCGCTCTCTGTAGCAATGTGTATGGTGAGCCGGGGCTGTATACAGACATCTCTCAGTGTTGTTCTTCACCTGGTGGGACCTGGACAGAGAAACCTTGTAGAGTTTGGTGACTATTCTAGTTTCTAAATAAAGGACAAAAGAAGAAGAAAAAAAAATCCTACAAGCCTTAACCTTGTGTCATTACTATGAGTTTCTGCTGGGAACAAAACCTGGCAATGTGCTACAGTGACTAAATTAACTCCCTAGAATGGGCATCTGGAGACTGTAGCTGCCCTGTTCCATTTTGGCACAGCTTCCTTGTGGAGCCTGGCATGGTAACCAGGCTGGTGGGTATTTTCTCTCTTTCATGTACTCCTCCACCTTAATCTCAAACTAAACTTCAGATCCTCCTGGTACGCTGTGGGAAGGAGCTTCTCATGTCAACCTCTGTGGCAAAAGCCACCTCAGCAGGGCTGGAAACTCATGGTTTTGTTGAGCAGGAGGAGATGGGCACCTCCTGTCCCTGTTACCTCCCCACAGCAGGACCTTGCTCACTTCCACAGCCAAAGCAGCACCATGGGGTAACACAACCCCTGGTGGTGAGGTTCAAACCTGGCTGGGGTAAAGAGGAGGAAAGCCTCAGGTGAACCCCTAGGTCTGACCTTGGCATTTGGGCACCAAGGGGCTGTTTCACGGGCTGGCACTCAGCTCGGACACTCCTGGTGCTGCAGAGCAAAGAGGTCAGCAGAGGGGACCAGGCCGTGCTGTGTTTGGCAGGCTGGGCCATGTCACTGGGGCTGGCTTGCCCAGGGCACCGAAAATTTCATACGCATGGACAAAACACAAGTGCTCAGTGGATGCCGTCACGGATACCCCAGTGGGACCCCACACTGTCACACGCGTGTGCCCCGTGTGCCGGCACGGAAGGGTCCGGCCGGGGCTCCCTCGGCCCCTCAGGAGCGGCCCCGCCGTGCGCGGGCGGTGCTGCCCCCTGGCGGCCACAACCGCCCCGACCATTTGCCGCCGGCCCGCGCGCGCGGCTCCAAAATGGCCGATGGCGACGGGCCCGGAGAGCCGGGGCCGGACACACGGCACACAAACCCCACAGCTCTCCACCCGAAGCGGCCCCACACACCACTGGTTTAGCTCTAGCCACAGGGGAACGGCCTTCGGCAAGGCTCCATGTTGCGAAGCCAGGGAGAAATGGCCACAGCAGAGGCTCAGCAGGGCAGGGGAGGTCCCAGCATTGGCCATGAGGGCACTGGCACAGGCCAACACCAGGGCACCATCTTTCAGCAGGGCAGCGGTGATGACACTAAGGGACCCTGTGCCCAGGAGGGCTCATTTACACGGCCCCACTTTCTGTGCTTGTTTCCTGCACCCATCAGTCTGGGAAAGTCATGTACTCCAACAGCTGCCACTGCAGCCAGAAAAACCGGCCAGTGACCACTGCCACAGGACCGGCCAGGACTGAGGCTCTTCATCCCCAGGCTGGTTGGTGCCTGACCTTGTGTGAGAAAGGACAGCAGGAGGCCTGAGTTTGGTTACAAACAAGAAGCCACTTAGCCCAAACTCTGTTTATGTACTTGCTTCACACTTGGGGGCAAGAGGAGACAATTTGGAATAAAACACAAGAGAAAATACCTGTAGGAGAGAGCAACTGAACTGCAGGGCTTTAGTACAAGATCTGATTTACTTTGTTTAAAAAGAAAGTAGAAAAGCAATTGGCTAGCAAGCACCACCACACCATCTTCAGTTAAAACAACACAAAAGGTTGTGGTTACAGAGCTTACCGTGGCCACCATCATCTTTTCCCCTACCTCCTGCTAACACAGCACACATACACTGCTGGGAGCTGACACAGGCTGGAGCAGAGGAGGACAGAAGCTGCTGCTGTGATACCAGTGACCTTAACCCAAAGAGGGAAGGCTCCAGACAGCCTGTTTCTCACAGCCTGCTTAATTTAGTGGCACAGAAGTAACACGAACCAGTTTAGGTCCTTTAATCTGTCCAAGACAAGGTGCTAAAGCACAAATGATAAAACATTCTGCATTTTTACAGCAAAAATGCTACAGAAGTTTATAGGAAAAAAATTTTTTTTTTGTACATGGGTAAAACATTATAAATTCAAGACAACTCACAGACAAGGGGTAAATTCCCACATCTATCACTCTTTGTTTTAAGAAGTTCATTTGAACAGGCAAGCAGTCAAAATGGCTTGCTCTCTCTTCCTTGAAATGAAAATGTTATCTTCCAAGTGGCTCACAGTACTGCTGCGCTTCTTGGAATGTCCTCCGAAGGCTCCGCCAAGATCAAAGGAGAATAAAAACCCCCGGAGTCCTTTCAGATAGTCTTGGAGAGCAGGAAAAGGGAAAGGAAAGGGGAAGTTTATTCAAACTTGATCTTCTTCCCTTGCGGCTTGTGATCTCCGCCTCCTCCTCTGCCTCCTCTGCCTCCTCGGAAGCCACCTCCTCTGCCTAGAAAGGGAATTATTGCAAAAAGCAGAGTTATCACTATAGTATTTTATATATATGTACACACACACACAAATATATTCCAGTGGTATATCTATAGCACTGCCCTTCCCAACCCATCCTAGCACAGGACAGAATGGTCTCTGGTAGCTCTACACCATAACCCCAAAAATGGCTTTGGATTCATTTTGGAGCACACCCCCCTCTGAACCTATTCCTCTTACCTCCAAATCCACCTCTGCCACCACCTCTGCCACCAAATCCACCTCTTCCTCCTCGGCCACCTCCTCCTCTGCCACCACGACCACCAAATCCACCGCCACGCTGAAAGTCACCCTTTGGCTTGGCAAAATCAAGGGTCACTTTGTTTCCATCTATCTCTCCATCTTCCATGGCTTCTTTAGCTGCTTTGGCATCTTCTGGAGAGCTGAAGTCCACAAACCCAAACCTAGGGAGGGAACAGGTTACAAGAGTGACAGTCAGTCACATTTCATGACCTGCAGCACCACCTACAGGTTCCTGACAGAAATCCTTTTGGAATCCAACACCAGCACTTCTGCATCCCACAGATGTGTTACTTGTAGGACAGCAGTGGCTAATCACAATCGATGGAGCCCACTGTGAATCTGCCAGTACTGTACAGTTAATTTTCTTCTCGTGCGAATCCATCAGCTGCCATGGAGATTTGTTGGCAGGAAGGAGCTCATTGAGAAGAGGTGAGAAGTGAGCATGTGCCGCCCTCCACCAGAGGACCCAAAGCAGTGTGTTCTCTGCTCCCACCCCTATTTACCAGTTTCACAGAACCACCCTGCACTGCAGAGGTCAGCTAAAGCAAGGTGCTCTGCAGCACCTGAACCTAGCCCAGGTGATGTTTAACCCACCCTTTAGATGATCCAGTGTCTCTGTCTGTGACTATTCTTGCGCTTATTGATCCTTCAAATGATTCTCTTAACGTCTCCTCTGTGGTGTCCTCAGAAAGGCCTCTGACAAACAATGTTTTGCTCTGCTCTGTGAAAAGGGAGCACATTCAGAAGTTATTCAGCCTGAGCAAAGAAACCTCCAGCTTCATAACATCACATCTAGCTTGCATTACCAGCTCTCAGAACAGCTCTGAAGGATAAAGGGGTTGTTTTCAAGGAACAGCTCAAGCACCTGAAGTCCATGGAAACTTTTTCAGGACTGCAGTTAGAGCCTGACATCAATGATTTCAATCAGCCAACTGGATACTGCCAAATTAAACTTGCTCAACTTCCTTTTGAAAAATAGATGCTTCCACCTTATCAACAAGAATAACTAATTGTGCAGACACTGCTGGATCAGCACTTGACTATCTAGAGGAATTTGACAACAGTTTCATCAGCATTTCAGATAATCAGTCATCATATCCAGCACACTTGCTTATGATGCTTTTGGTTTGGTTTTTTCTTTTTTTTTTTTTTAAGCAGCCCCAGATTTGCCTGGATGGTGCCTTCCTGCCACAGCTGGAGATCTAACATGAAACACTTACGACTGAATCCTCCTCCTCGTGCGTTTGTATTTCCTTTCTGCCATGATGGTGAACTGAATTCCAGTCTGATTGTTCTGCCTTCAATCTCTGTGTTGTTCAAAGAATTCAGTGCTTCTTTGGCATCCTCAGCTGTGGCAAAATCTACAAATGCATACCTATGTGGAGAGGAAGATTCCAGTCAGCCTGGGAACAAGGGATACCTGGAGGCAAGTCAGTTTAATGCCAGCCTGGGGGTCAAGTGAAAGGCACAACCTACCCTTTAGGCCTGCCCTGGTTGTTCTGTGGCACCCTGATGGAAGAAGCTTTCTTGAACACTTCTTGGAGAGTCTCTTCTGTAGCAGCATACGAGAGGTTGTTGACAATTAGGGTGGTCGACTCTCCTACGGGGAAAAGTCAGTGCTGTTAAAGTGCAGGCTTTAAGAGAAGGAGAGAGCAGCTCTTGTCCTCTAGTAACCACTGTGCCAAGAGGCAAGAATACTTGCTGCCCATTCCTCACCTCAAGGTGAGGCACAAGGCCAAATCCAACCCTGTTTTAATCAAGAAGACCAGTTGCCCCTTGTCTGAAACATGCAGTAGAGTGCATAGGATGCAGAGCACAAGTCAGGCAAAAGGTCTGGTATCTTAATTTTCTTGCAGTATTTTAAGTTGCCATACCCTCAGGAACTTTTGAAGCAAGTGGAAATGAATCCTGAATGTCATCTGTATGCATGTTATCAGTATGGAAAGTACCTTTCTGATTTTCTTGCTGGCTCTTTTCACCAGTGAAGTCAATGACCACAGCACGACCCTCAATTTCTGTGCCCTGCTTTTCCTCCAGAGCTTTGTCTGCCTCAGCTTCTGTTTTAAATTCAACGTAGGCCATCCTACACCACAGAAAAGAATGTAAGCAAACGCCGCCTTCCAGAAACAGCAAAGTTTTGTGAATGAGGGGGGGAAATATATAAAAGAAAAATGCTGCAAAAAGTAGGACAACTAATGCAGCAGGTTCCCTAAGGCAAGCTTATCAGAATATGCCAAGAGCTAAAAGAAGAGCAAACACACAACAGTCCTCTCAGCTACACACCCTCTGCTGTTCCCATCCTTGTTCATCACTATCCGGACTTCCAGTGCATTTTCAAACACCTCCCTGATGTCATCCTCGGTTATGCGGTACGGCAGGTTCTTCAAAAACAGCGTTCTGGCATCCCTCTCTGCAAAGACAAGTTACTTTCAGGTTACCAGCTAAAAATCCCTCCTCATCTACAATGCCAGTTCAGTATGACTTAGCAAGTTGATCCAGCAGAAATTAACGGCAAGCATTCACATTTTCAGAAGCTACAAAAGCAACTGTAACAAAAGTAAATGAAAATACTGTACTTCTCTTATTATTAATTGTGTCATACCTTTCTTGTTTTCTTTCATAGTTTCCTTGCTCTTTGCTTTTTCCAGTTTGACTTCCACACCCATTAACTTCTTTCCATTCATCTGGAGAGCTTTATCCAAATCCTCAGCAGATGAGAAGTCCACATAGCCGAACCGCCTGAAAGAACAGCATCCTTGAGGTCTCAGCTGATCCATCTCTGGCAGCAGACACCACAAACAGAAACCTAACACCAGAGAGGTCCTGGCTGGTCAAGTTCCAGGCAAAGTTAAACCCTCATCTCTACCAAGAGACCACCCCAGCATCTTGAGGGGAACCACCAGTAGCAGCACAATTTGGACCCCCCGAAAAAATTAGTGCCAAATAAAAGAAATGAGCAGCAAAATTCTACTGATGAACTCACCTGGTAGCACTGATTCTGACATCTAAAACTTCAATATTCTTCTTCCCAAAGAATTCTCTGAGGCCAGTCTTCAGCTCCTCAAAGTCTTTGGCAGAGACCAAATTTCCAACAAACATAGTGAAAGCTGATGCAGGCCCTTTAAATGAAAAGACAATAAACTGTTTTTTAAGGCAGCTTTTATAACTGGGAGCCAGAATCCAGACAGCTTTAGCACATCAGGTTTTGCTCAAAAGTGACATCATATTTCAGTATTAAGTCCCTTATAATCATCATTTGTGCTGGAAAACCCCACCCCTGACATCCTGGACTTCAGTTACGTTCCTCATGCAACAGCGTTCAATCACAGTCCATTAAACAAGCATCACATGAGGATCCCACACCACTTACCATCTGTTTTCTTTTTCTTGGGCTCTGGTGCACTTTTATTGGCCATTTCTTTCTTTCTCTTTCCAGGTGCTTCCTTGACAGCAGGTTCTGTGCCAGAAAACAGAACAACATTGAAAAATACAGAACTTTTCCTAAATTGAATCAGCACATGAACATTAATCCTTACACCATTCATACACAAGATCTCCTGTTACTAAGAAGCTGCTCCTCAGTACAAAAGGCCACTGTAGCACATTTCTGCTCAGGCACCATACCTGTTATTAAATAGTCTCAAAGCCACTTAAACTCACTTTCATCTTCACTTTCCTCTTCGGCATCCTCTTCATCCTCCTCTTCATCATCATCCTCATCGTCATCCTCATCTTCCTCATCTTCAGATTCTGCTGCCTTGGCTTTCACTGGTGTAGCCTTGGCTGGAGTGGTTTTCTTCACTGGAATAGGGGCTGTGTCCATGGCTTCATCTTCAGACTCTGAAACAAGATGAGCACAGTATTCAGACAGTTTCACATTAAGCATATTTTGAAACAAGAAAACAAAATACTTTTAAGCAAAATGTTTCTCATGCCTCCTAAAATTTGTATGTTTCCAGGAAAAAGGTTTAATACACTTAATTTTTACAAAAATTGTCTCTCTGCCTTGTGTTTTACTGCATTAAAAAAACCCCTAAACCTGTTCACCAACAGTAAGAAGTTTTACTGACAAAAGGGAAATTAACACCCATTCAGCAACATGGACAACAGCAACCAGCTAAAACCAGCTGAGCACACACTGCATCAATCCCATTATCCTTTAATTAACCTCCCTCCCCCAGGTCCCAGAAAGTGTTTAACAATAAACATCTTATACCATCTTCTTCTTCATCGTCCTCTTCCTCATCATCTTCATCCTCATCCTCCTCAGATTCCTGCTTTGCTGGCACAGCTGCAGGCTTTTTGGCTGGTACTGCTGCAGGCTTTTTGGCTGCAGGCTTCACGGGCATTGGTGGCTCCTCTTCCTCATCTGCACCAACAGTACAAGTCTTTACTTCTAAGGTTCAGTGGTATAGGTAAAAAGTCATTAGAGCTTCCCAAAATTTTGTCCAACAGTTCAGGAAACGGCAATCAAGAAACTAGGAGATCTTTTACAGGCCGTGTGTAAGGCAGCTGCAGCCCAAGCTCTCCTGCAAACTTCACCCATTGCCCACCTCTCTTTCATAACCCCTCATTAATCAATGAACTCCCCCAAGTATTAATCATACAAATGCTTCCAATTCCAAAGGGACTCATATTTAATTACTTGATTGAACCAGCTTTAGTCAATGCCTATTTCAAAAGTAACTTACCAGAATCTTCTTCATCCTCCTCATCATCATCTTCGTCATCTTCATCATCTTCACTCTCCTCCTTCTTGGCATTCTTTCCATTTTTTGCTCCTTTGGTTAGGACAACAGCCTTTTTAGGAGTTGGAGTAACAGCCTTTTTTGGCTGTGGAGTAGCCACAACCTTCTTTGCAGGTGTAACTGCCTTTTTTGCAGGAGTAGCAACTTTTTTTGCAGGAGTTGCAGCTTTCTTGGCTGGGGTAACAGCAACCTTTTGTGCTTTCTTCTGGGGGATCATCTGAAAGACACATTAGTGTAAGATTCATGCTGGCCTGTTTAACCTACCATTACTTCACTATCAAACATACAGCAACTGAAATCTACAGAGTATCCTTCTGATAGTTTCTGTAAAGTTACCTTAAATGCCCACCCAGATGAATAAAGGTCAAACACAGCTTTTTCATGCTTTCAGAAGCCTACTTATGGAACATCAAAGCACCTCTAAACTCCCTGGTCCTGAACCAAGACCAGTCATGTCTATTAGCATTCTATACCTTGAAATTTTTACACTTGCACATAAACCACATGTGGACAAATGTCATACTGCTTATTACTAGAGTAATTAGGTACCCATTCGCTAATCAGCTTTAGTATGGCTTTAAAACGCCAGCAGCACTTCCAAAAGCTTGGAAACACACTTAGCAGCTGAGCCATTTTCCCCCATAGTGCTTTAGTCTTACAAAATCCAGTTTATTCTTTAGC